CATCCACAATAGTCTCTTGTTCCTCTGCGTTTCCTGAATCCTGCTTGCATGTTTGGCAGTTCCCTGTGTATATAAGGCTCTAATCTGTGTTTGTGGCTGAAAGCTATTTTTGATCACCTGTATCTTTTGAAATCATCAGACATCCACTGTAATTTCTTTCTAATTTCCTTTTCCTTTTTCCCAGGTTTTTCTCTGATTCTTATTTGATGACCTCTTTGAGTTCCATCCGTAGCTTCTCTGGTACTCTAGTCAGTTACATCCCGCATTTGAAATTGATTCCTGTTGTTTTCTTTGAAGACAGGTGGTATGTTCTCCAGGTCATATATTTTTTTATGCACTTCACTTGGAGTGTGCACATCAGTTGTATGTGATCTGTTGGACAGTCAGCCCCAGGCCAAGTCTTGGCAATTAAATTGAGCCATTCCATCTCTTGTAGTGTATGAATGTAGTCTATTTGGTTTTGGTGAACTCCATCTGGTGTTGTCCAAGTTGGACATTTTGGTTACTTGAAAAATGTATTAGTAGTGGAAAAAGTCATTGCAGAAGCTGATTAGCCATTCTCCTGCTTCATTCCTGTTTCCAAAGCCATGTTTTCCAACTGTATTTCCCTGCTTCTCATCTCTGACCTTAGCATTCCAGCCTTCAGCCACCAGTAGTTTGTCTTGTTTGCAGATCTTGTCAATTTTAACCTGTGTTTGATCATAAAACCTTTTGATTTCTTGATCACTTGTGTCTGTGTCCTCGTAAATCCAGATGACCTTAATGTTGAATTGTTGTCCATGAAATCGGATTGACATCAGTCGATAATTCACAGCATTATATCCAATAACAACTTTGTTGACATCCTTGTTGACAACAAAAGTCACTCCATTTCTTCTTTGTTGTTCATGAACTAAATAGTAGTTGGCGTGTTTCCCTGATTGAAAGTGCCCTAATCAAGTTCATTTTGGCTCGCTAATCCCAAGGATGTTGATGTGTAGATGAACCATTTCCATCTTTACTATTTCCAGCTTGCCATGATTCATACTTTATAGATTCCAAGTTCCAACTATGATTTTGCTTTTGCAGCTTTGAATTCTCTTTTTCTCTTGTCTCTTCAGCAACTAGACTTCCAGAGGGCTTTGATCTAGCCATGTCGTATGTACAAGTTGTACTCGGAGGAATCCTCAGCAGTGGTTGAGTGGCTTCAGACCTGAGGGTCCCATCTTCTGGCTCTCTTGATCTCTACAATCTCTTGTGTCTGTCCTTGTGGTTTTCTTGGTAAAGTACAGAAGTGCTTTATCATTGCCGTCTTCTTCTTTAGCATTGCCTTCACTTACTTTTTCTAGCCTGCGCTGTGGATGTTTACTGAATATGCTCAATAAAAGACATGAAAAGTACAAGAGTTTGTGTGTTATTAGTTTACTTAGATTGTGTTTGTGTTTGTCTATAATTGTGACTTAGATAATGATCCAACCAATTTTCTTAGTAATCAGTACAGAAATCTTCTGATGTAGCACTTTGTTTCATGTTATTTAAATAGGCTGATTTTTTTTCATTTAAAAATTTAAAATGCCAGCTCCCTCACTAATGAGCATTTTAGTAGTTAAATGTCCTCTGAAGTAAGACATACATGGTGCCATTTTAGAAATCTTGTTCTTTGGTGTATATTTGAACAGACCATCATGTACAGACAAAGCCTACAATTTATATACTCACCCCGTACGAAAATGCTCTGTCCATGTTCTGTAAAAATCCAGCACATGCAGACAGCTCCACCTATGGACGGTTTCAATTAAAGTTAACACGCTGCACGTCCTAGTACTCAAACATGCTGAGAAACTGTGCTACAGCAGTGCATCTAACTTGTGCCACACTGTGCAAACCAGGCAGTGCCATAGCAGCACAACATGGTTTCTCTACAGCCTGTTTTACAAAAACAATTAAAAAACTCAACATATTAACACTTGTACCTTGCTATTCTACTGAGTCAAATAAAGTAAAGTCAGCATGTACAGACTTTAGTTCCACAAGTGTCAACTTTGGCAACTACACTTCTGTTTTGCTAGCCTCGATGTGTCAACCCATATTGAGGAAGTGGTTGTGATTGTGTTTAAAATGGGCTAAAATCTTAATGTGTATGCCTGGAGGGAATGTGCCAAAGCAGGATGTTTAAAGTGATCAGTGACTTTGTGTCCGATCACCACGGCATCAGCAGCATGTGTGAACAGACTCTCGTTCACTGCCAGTTTGAGTTCATTTGTTCATTACGGCAGTAGCGTACACTAGGCTTACATCTCATGATGTCAGCTGGTATTGGATGTTGGTAACAATGCATTTGTATGAGGTTGAGTGTGAGTAAATGAGCATGGTGTTGGGTCAGTGCCTGGTACCAGTATTGGTATTGATGCATTCTTATTAAAAAATAACAAAATATATCAACCATTTTCTGTTTTCAGAACAGGCTCAGGCCTGCACGGAGTTCCATGCTCCTTGTTTGTCAGAAGATCGCTAATTGTTACATGTAGCAAAATGTTCGCGTTCTGTCCCCAGTAAACAAGCCCTCCTATTGGCCTTGGTGTCATAAATCCAATTGCAGATGCTGACTTGTGTGTGCACACACATTAAAGCCTGGTTTGTTTTAACAGCTAATACAAGTCAGCCAGGTCACATTGAGCCAAGAACTGTGTCTGGGCAGCTTACCCTTGTATTGGGCTTATGGCTCATGGGTGGACTAATAAGCCTGCCAATCAGTGATTTGAAGTAATAATTATTTTGATGCACATAATTGCATTTCTGTTTACAGCCAGAAGCATGTAATATGATATTTTGAAAACAGCTCTGCAGCCTTTTCAAACTGGTTCAGCAGCTCATCGGAAAATGTTCTTCATCCTATAAAATACAAGTTCCTTGTAGTCTGCTGATAAATCAGAAACACTTCCACTCTTCTACATTTTGCATCTCTTCTTGACCTGGCCCCTTCTGAGTCTGCTTGCAGTGGTCTGTGTTTGTTTGGTGAAGACTGGGAATGATAATAACCTAAATGGTAAAGGTCAATTACTGTATACCCCCTTGGAGAGCCTAGTGGGCACCCCTCCTGGGGCATTCTTTTCAGCTACTATCCACAGGCCTGCCCACCCATGTCTGTGAAACTCCTCAAGCCCCTGCCTTTTGTTTGTTTATTGTCTTTCTCCAAAAGCCTTTCTCAGCTGGCTCTATTCTTTAATGTTACTGCTCTCCTGCCTTGCAAGTACATGCTTTCAGCTTTTTACACGCTATCTGGGTTTTGCCTAGCTGTGGAAGTGGCTTTGTACTGCATGTATGTGCTCTAATGCATGTTAGAGAGCACTAATGGGCCCTATGCAAGAATGTCTGCCTGAAGAGAGGGGTAGGTGCTGAAGCTCTGGCAGGGTATGTCCATATTGGGAGCACACAGGAGCTGGATGCCTTGGAGCTTGATGCCTTTAAGCCCCTGAGTTTGGAGAGTTGCCCACTTAGCAGAGCCTGTATCAGGCAGTCGAGAGAAGGTTTTGGCAGTGTAAGCTCATTCATTTTTGGTCCAAGCTTTACTTTCAGACACATGGAATGAGACAGTTGTGGCAGCTGAGCAAACATAAACTCACAGGGCAGGAGAAAGGATTGTTTTCTCTCTCAGTGGATTTGCAATGCTAGAAAATTATGTAGTTGGGCTGGCAGGGTGGGAGACAGCACAGGGTAGGTCAGTGTGCATCTTGACCCTATTTTCCTGCATTGTACAAAGGCTATTGTCTCTGCATTCAGGTTTAGCAAGACAGAGAGACTGTGATGGTGATTTAGAATTGCAGCATTGTTTGTACCTACCATAGACTGCAGTACACCTCCAGCTTTCTAAGCAGACTGGGTCACTGTCTCTGTTGGGAAAGTGATGATGGCTCTGATGAGTTGCTGTTTCGTACAGTGGGCTCAGGCGTATAAATGCAACACAGAATACAGGGTGTGCTTCTATAATGGTAATCAGTGAGCAGTAGAGGAACAGCAGCAGCTGGAACCGGGGCTGAGAATAGTGTGGACTGGCTGTTTGCCCACATTGGAACTTTAGTTTAGTGGGACGCTGTGGATCTGTTTGATGTGTGATTTGTTGTTCTTTAATCTCACGTCTTTACTGGAGTTTAATGCTGTGCCTGGATTGGCAAATGCAGGCCCTTTTTTATGGCACAGAGATGGATGACCTACAATAGGAGGATCCACAGATCCTAAAGGGGATAAATTGGTTTAAACACAAGCCATTCAAGTAAAAGATTCTTTAATTTGTATGTTGCACTGAATATTTCATTTTAAAGTCTAACTCTGAATATAGTATGATGAGTTGACCCACTTGCCTTTAAGGAAATGCAGTTGCTATACAAAGTGCATGCCCAGACATACACAGAGGTAAGACAGGATTTCTACAAAGAACAGATTAAACATAAAATGTAAACTTATTAACCAGATGATTAAATTACACAAAACATTTAATATGTCCAGAGATCCTGTGGATATTTCCCCCAAATCTCTACGTTCAAGCATTGCAGTATTTATATCTGAGATCTGTTTTTCATTGCTGTTCTTTCATTATGTCCATATTCTTCGCATTGCCCAAATCATAAGGCCTTGCATTAACAATCTCTCACACATTTACTGCAAGGATATGAGTTTTAGCTTTAACTACGTAGTTTACTGGACTTGCTGCATACATACATACATACATACATACATACATACATACATACATACATACATTTGGAAAGTCCGCTCAACCAACACATGGTGTACTATGATGTATAGTTTACTTATTGTTCGTTTAAACTTTGTTTGCTATTTTCTTGTGCAGTTACCTTTACTCAATTTGGAAAGCCTGCAAAAGATTATTTTATGTTGCTGCTTGTGACTGAGGATTGCAGGCTCAGTATCCATTCAAGGTCACACTGTTGTGTACTTACCTAGTGATTTGTTAATGGGCTCCATCTCTGTCTCTCCTTCTTTCTTTCTCCACCTCCCTACAGAGCATCAGAGGAGTCATAGCTGGCTTCAAGCCCACACACCTGTGAAATTACCATATCTCCTGCTGCGGTTCCTGCAAAATTAGCAGTCCTTGACCGAGAAACAGAGATATAGGAACCTGTCCTTTTCCTATGGATTACAGACCTATAGGATACCCTGTTTGGGTTTATCATTTTTAACGCTCATTGGCAGTCTGAAGTTCTTAAGAGTCAATGATTGAGAGGCATTCAAAATTTCTGGTAGGAGTGCCCATTAGAAATGAGAGTACCTAACCTCAAGGTGAAATCATTGCTGTTTGTGCCAGAGATAAATATAGCTTGCATTCTTTAGCTTAAGCACTAAAGAGCCTCACGCATGTAATGCAGACTGAGAACCTTTGCTAGGAAGCTCCAGACCTTAAACGGAAATATGGGCCCTCCCGTTTCAAACATGCAGGGACCACCAGCTGTACCCAAGATGGGCGTTCGAGCCAGAGTGTCAGATTGGCCCCAGAGAAAGGACAGTAGCCATGGGTCTCCACCTAGATATGACAGCTTGATGTCAAATTTCCAGAACAGAAAATTCAGTCAGGATACCGATGATGTCATCAATCAAAACCAGGGGTCTCCGAACAAGACCAGCTTTCTCGAGGCCAAGTACGGGTTACTCAGTCATTCGTCAAGTAAAGGCTTTCATCCCCTTCAGAAGAAAAGCAACAGTGACATTACCATCAGTGATATTGGTGTAGAGGATGTTGATCAGACAACCATTAACCCCAACACTGGTGCTTCCTTACACCGTGATTATGGTAGCACCTCCTCTGTTGACCGACATGGTTTGTCTAGTGAAGTGTTTTTCACTACACCAAGAGCCCACCCACCTGAGCACTCAGAGCAGCCCAGTGCCCCACCTCCGCATGGATTCCCAGAGTACCTACAGTATGACACCATTTCTCCGAGCCTCCAGACTGCAACTCAGATAGCTCAAGGGGACCTTGTCTGCATCCCAAACTACTCTGATTATGTGGACAGCTCACTCTTTTACAATCAGGAAAGAGAGAGGTCTTTCTTACAGAGGCAAAAATCAGAGAAGGGGGAGACTTCAGTATTTCGTAAGTTGAAGACTATGAAGAGTGAACCCAAGCATTTGACTGAACAGGATGATTGTAGCAGACATGGCTGCACTTTAAGTTTCCAGAGATGTTTTGCACATTATGATGTACAGAGTGTTCTTTTTAACATTAGTGAGGCCGTTACCAACCGGAGTAACCTTGCACGCAGGAAGAACATTACTACTGGAGCTTCTGCTGCATCAAAGCACCATACTGTTGGGGCAGGAGATAGTACTGAATCTTTGCCTGTGTACCCAGAGTCTCCTCTGGGTAGCTGTGAGGATCTTGGACAGAAAGCTTGCACTGATCTAGATGAAGGAGATGGGAAGAGCAATGGTATGGTGCTCAGCTGCCCTTACTTCCGCAATGAGGTAGGTGGTGAAGGAGAATGGAAACTAGGACTCACAAGGACCAACAGCACCAACTACAGTAGTGGAGGTGAGAGCTGTACTGTTGAGTCCACTCTCAGCTCTCACTGTAAAAATGCAGGGGTATCTGTACTGGAGTTACTGCATGATAATTACTCATCTCATGAGAATTATGCGGTTCCCCGGGACTACATTAAACGCTACGTCATTGAGCACATCGACATGGGGGCGTACTATTACTACAAGTTCTTCTACAACAAAGGTAAGACTGATGGGAATTTACAGGGGCTTACTTGGGCTAAACTATGCAGCACGTCTTTGAAATTTTTAATGGAACTGTTTTTACTTTTTATCATATTTTTATCATTGGAATGTTGGATATGTTTTTCTTATGATTTAGGGCATCAGAACTATTTTGGTCTGGATGAGAACCTGGGCCCAGTGGCAGTGAGTGTGCGCAGAGAGAGACTGGAGGAGAGCAAAGAGGCAGTACAGTACAACTACAGAGTAATCTTCAGAACCAGTGAGGTAGGCCAAGACACTTCATCATGCACCACCTGCTACCACACAATATATTTTAATATAACAATATGTTGCAATATTACAATATAATTACGTTTCTGCACTACAGGTAATAAGAGCAGTTTTTCTCAGAGATTAATCTCCCAGATTAACTTTTGCTCTATTTCACTGCCTAACACACAATCATCAATCAACTGAGAACACTAAAACTTGCTAAAAGTAAGAGCAGAAGTATGCACTGGATTTGAAAGCACAACCCAAGTTAGTGGGAGTTAGTGGGGGTAAAGGTGGTTATTTTAACTCAAAGTGATATTAAAGTGTGTCTGGACAATAATGATATATCGCAATGTATATAAAAAATCAATACAATTAGAGATGCACCGATACTACTTTTTCCCCTTCTGATACGATACCTGATCCTTAAATATATGCCGATACCAAGTAGCGATACCGAAATCTGTCTAACCTAACTAACCTAAGTCCTAATATTTACACAATTACATTTTACAAATATTATATTTTGGTCAAAACTATGTTCTGCATCAGAAATAAAACATAGATGACATTTACTTTTAATTTACTTGAGTAGATGGCATTTACTTGGATTGTGTGTGTGTGTGTGTATGTATGTATGTATGTGTGTGTGTATATATATATATATATATATATATATATATATATATATATATATATATATATATATAATTATTTATTTATTTTTTACCCGATTTTCTCCCCAATTTAGTCGTTTCCAATCCCACCCGCTAGTTAGGACTCCCCCAATCACACGATGCTATCTACGCTAGGAGGGTGAAGGCTAACACAGGCTTCCTCCGAGACCTGTGAAACCAACCACCGCTTCTTTTCGAACTGCCGCTCAAGCAACGTCAGTGGACAGCCGAACGCGCTCGGAGGAAAGCGCCAACCGCCAGATCTGTTACGTCAGCTAACAGACGCCTGCGCTGACTAGCATCGCGTTGAGTGATGGGGGGAGAAGGAGGGGCCATCCTACCCACCCAGAGAGAGCGAGGCCAATTGTGCTCTCCTGGACTCCCGGCTACGGATGGCTGATCTCCTGATGATAGGGCCAACGCTTAGACGGTTGCGCCACTCGGGAGCCTGGATTGTATATATTTGATGCTTAAGAAAACCTGTTTTTGTTATCAGCTTATCTGTAAAAACGGTGCTGAATGTTTCACATCTGAATTTCTCAAAGTACAGCTAGTCTATAAAATGTTTTAAAGTTTGCAGTGGAGCTGACAAAGATGATTTGCTCTTGCATGTTTGCAAAATTTGCTCTGCACTGGAGAGTATGTAGTGTTATATGGGCTTTTTCCAGTGTACCACCAACACTGAGAAAGATTGCCTAGTCCTCAGTGCAAAGTAATAATCACTGTAAATAATTGTGTAAATGTATACATTGTATTGAGTTCACAAGAATTATTTAAGCTGTTCAAATTTATTTTGAACTGAGGGCAGGGCTCCTTGTGGTTCACTGTTTTCGGGATTATTATGGTATCCACAGTATGGGAAAATATAAGTTTATAGTGTTCTTTTTTATGTCAGGATACCTCTCACCCATGTGATCTGCTGTGTGTGTGTGTGTGTGTGTGTGTGTGTGTGTGTGTGTGTGCGTGCGTGTGCGTGTGTGCGTGTGTGTGTGTGTGTGTGTTTTTGTTTGTTTGTGAAACAGTTTTCCTGCTTTTAGTAATGTCCTTTTCCTTCTTATGCTTGTAATTTTTTTTTTTTTCCAAGTCTTCCAAAATGTTTGCTGAACTGGCAGCAAACATTTTATTGAAAGAATGCCAAATCTTGATTGTAGTAGTCTACTCATTATTGTATTATTGATCTCCGAAAGCTGTCATACCATCACGGCTGAGAATGAAACCACTGTAAGACTACTTTCATACGGATTTGTATTGAAATTGACTGTGTGACTGACATCACTACTGTTATTTTTATATATGTTTAGATATTAGCTCATGGGTTCTTCCTCATCAATAGAGTTATTACTGTCAGAGTATTTAATTAATTAATTAATTATATTTATTAAGCAGCAAGGTATTTTAATGTGAGGAGGCTTTCTGATGTATAATTGATTGAAAAAAGTCACTGGGTGAATTTGCAGTGACACACAAATGCTAAAATGCGATATCTCTATAGCGAAACAGCGATATCTTTTTCAGTTAGTGGAGGTCAATAATTCATAAAGTGTTTAAAAGAGCATACAGCCATAACCAGTGCAATAAGGAAGCACTCACAGCTCACAGAAAGCACTACATCATAGGATTGAGGACCGCTAATGCATGTGTTTAGTGTTAAGATTTGAATGTCATTTAAACATGTGTGATTCAGTGACTCCCATCTCTTCCTGTCTGTCTGTCTGTAACCACAATGTCAGCTCACTACCTTGCGAGGGTCTATCTTGGAGGATGCTGTGCCCTCCACTGCAAAGCACGGCTCTGCACGTGGCCTACCTTTGAAGGAAGTGCTGGAGTATGTGGTGCCTGAACTCAACATCCAGTGCCTTCGACTGGCCATCAACTCACCCAAAGTGTCAGAACAGCTGCTTAAACTGGATCAACAGGGGGTGAGTACCACAAACGTATTTCAGATGAGTGCTACTCATCTGACACAAGGGAAAAATAATTACACATAATTGCAACCATATTGCACTTTCTTTATGTTGGTGCCCTGTGTCAGTTCTTTTTATAACATACTCTTGCTCACTTCGACTCATCACTTGGATGTGTGTCACACCTATATAACACATGTGGCCACTCACAACAGAAGGGGAGTAGGGGACATCGAGGAGTGGATTATTCAAAAGGAATGCATTTGCCATTAGCAGGGTAGCCTCAGTGAGCTAATCGGCTAGCCATGCAAACTTTTCAATATAAATTATTTTTTGAGAAGTTTGAACATAATGTGCCTAACATTTATGGGTAATTGTATGGCCATAAACTTGGTGTAGAACTGTGGTGTAGTGCCTTTATTTTTGTTGTTGGCCATGTAGCCTTCAGCATGAGTAAAGTCATTAAGGTGGATCAGCTGTCATGTATAGGAGATGGATTAGTTCATAACCTAAAGCCCAGCAAATCGAATGTTATGGTTTTGAAATGTTAAACATTTTAAAGTTGCTGACTGCTATAGCTTATAAACACCATTATTTGGGTTTGAAAAGGGAAATGCCTCAGGTCTCAATGATTTCTGGGCAAGTTCTGCTGCTGAAGTCGACACTTGTGTTCACATCTCCCACTCCTCTGAGGGCTCATCTGATCCTCTTCACTTAAGCTAATATACAACTGGAACGGTACTTACTAGGGGAACCTTCTAAAGGGAAATGATGAAGCCATGTGGACAAAGGCTTGTCAAAACTGGTTTTGAAACAAGCTGTGGGACAAAGAGAAATTGACAGAGAGAGAGAAATATTGGTTTTAAGTGCTAATCGAGTGTGGCCTCAACATCTAGTTTACACTGTTCTACATAGGCATGAGTCCTAAAACTCCCAAAAGCTTCTAATTATTAAGAGAAAAAAGATGGTTATTTGACACCATCAGTCTAAAGCCCACATACGTCCTTCTTGAGATGAAGAAATATATCTAAAAAAAGCTAACTTTATGACTGAACAAAGAAAGTGCTATGGAATGAATATAAGTTGAACATCAGATCTGGAAAAGCAGTCACTTTAGCATGATTGAGCTGCCAGAATGCTTTTTTACAGCAGTGACCCTCACAGGGACAGCCAGAGCACAATTCTGTTTAAGGGCACATATTACAAATATGTCAGGATGGAACATTATATTCCTTAAAGTGAAAAAGTTTCGTTGAAACCCGGCTCTGGAAAAAAGCCAGTGGGAGAGACTGGATAGGCCTGGTTATCAACACTTCTGGAAATATATGCCTCCAGATGAATAATCTCAAAGATGGAATGCTGTACAATTTAGAATTTATTGTAAGTTATTAACTTAAAGCGTGAAAATTAACGCCTGGGGGATCACACATGGATTTCCAGGAGTGTTATTTGCTTTACACATTTTCAGATTTCCAAAAAAAAACTCATTGTCGAGCTGGTATTATTTTGTGTTTACTAGATTGAAGGCAACCCATTGGTACTATTATAGACAGCATCATCATGACAACCATCTGGCAGTGTGACTTGACCTGTCTGTAAGAGAAGCTGCCAAGTGTGACCAGCAACCTTATTGTAGAAATCATAGAAAATCACTTCTCTTTTCGTTTTTCAGCTATGCCCATTTATTTCTCTACCATGACCTTTTTTCTAATCTTTTAATCTTTTTTCTGAAAGAACCTGTCTAGTTTGATTGTCTCTGGAGTGATTTCAGATGCCTTTTTCAGAGCAATTGACAGAATGGCAGTAAAATTACCTGTAGTGTTTGGGGTAGATGGGTCCAAACCTCTAAGTTCTTATGTCCATAGACCAGGGCTGTCAAACTCAACCAGTAAAAGGGCTCTTTTTAAACACAGCAGATTTGTTGCAGTGTTGCTTTACTTAACATTTTGCCATGACCCAAACAGGCCTTTGTTTATTCAAAACATACCAAAACTACAATGGCAAAAAAAAGCTCTGAAAACTTTTCAAAAACAATTTTAAATAAAAACGAATTGTTTCATATAAAACAATAGACTACATTAGCTGCAGATAGCCGTTAAATGTCTTTAAATGTCCCCAGCGTACAGTAGGTTTTTTTTAAAACTGTCCATTTGCTTCAACTAGACACCTGCCATCATTTTATTTAGGTTGTGGTGCTATCCCATAGATTGTTGTTGGGGAGGGGGTGGGAGCACACATTATGTTGCGGTGCATGCTGGGATCTGTAGTGCAGCTCATGGTGAAATGCACCACGGGCCTGTTCGACACATGGGCCGTAGACCATTTTGTCATTGGTTTGTTTAACACATCATGAACCTGTACAACAGTCCAAAATATATAAATAATAATAATAATAATAATAATAATAACAACAAAAAACACAGAGGGTATTAAAGCGTTTTGGCTGTGTTTATTTGAGGAGCTACTGTGTCTGTCTCTGCAAACTGTTTTTCATTTCTAATCAGCATGTCTGGCTCTCATAAATATTGCATTTGAGGGCAGTCTGCATAGGATTACTATCCTCCTGTGTGTCAGGGCTCAGTGCGGATTAATAACACTTACCATGACTGACTCATAGCATATGCATATTGATTGAATGCAGATTAAATGCATCCTGGTGTGCATGTGCAGCTTGTGGAGTGCTTCAGATGAGTTAATGTCATGGTGGGAGTTTATCTGGGTTATGCAAACAGTGATCTTTTTACATTTTTGTGAAACAGCATGTGTGTTGTCTTAATATTTCAGTTTTATTTAAAAGTATGAATTGAGTTATATTACAATACAATAAATTATTATAAATCAGTATACTCTACTAGCCACTGGATGATGGAGGCTAAGCTAGGCTAGTGGCAATTGTGGGTTTAAGCGAAGAACGAATAGACTTGTAATCATGTAAATAATAATAAATATTTTCTCGGCAGTTGGGTTATCAACACAAAGTGGGGATCCTGTACTGCCAAGCCGGCCAGAGCACAGAGGAGGAGATGTACAATAATGAAAGTGGCAGTCCAGCTTTGGAGGAGTTCCTGGATCTGCTTGGCCAAAGAGTTCGCTTAAAGGGTTTCAATAAGTACAGGGCTCAGCTGGACAATAAGAGTAAGTACAACTCTTAGGACAAGTAGAGCAACAAAGAAACATTTAAAATATTCATTTATGTTATACTGTATCTGTATCTACTGGGCAAAATTATGTGTGCGCACACACATTGTTGTGTTTTTTTTGTTTTTTTCATTTTTTTTGTTGTAAGTATATACACCCTTTTCTGATTGCAGCGGATTCTACAGGCACTCATTCTCTCTACACTGTCTATAAGGACTATGAACTAATGTTTCATGTCTCCACAATGCTCCCTTATACACCCAACAACAGGCAGCAGGTGAGACTGACATCACAGTGTTCTATGTTTTTTAGAACTGTACTGTACCATGGAGTATATCGTTAGGTACAGGTTATACACTCTAAACTAGCTGTGTACAAAGCAAGCATTGAGGCTGTCCAGTTCTGGGCCATATGCCTCAGTGTAAATTCTTTGCAAAATGATCACCCTCTGTAATAGATTGTTGTTGAATACTCAGCACTCTTACTCAGAGAAGTTTGATGAATATAATCCTTACATTTTGCATGTGTAGTTCTTTGCTGTATGGTGCTTTTATGAAATAACGCTGCATTGGTTTTTAAGTACTCCAAAACTTTTAAAATTGTCTTTTATGCCACAGTTCAAACCAGTTCGTCACCTGTCTTGCTGCCCTACAGAGATTTATGATCATTCTTAGAATCAAATAGAATAGAATAAAATGCATCACCTATACATTGTGTATCCTTCCCTGAGGTTCTGCTCCATTGTAAAGTTCACTGTTTTACCGATTTATATGGCTTATAGTGTTGTGTGAAGAGGTGTGTTTCGACTTTGATAGAGAAGAAGATACTGCATGCACAGATATGTTGGGCATCCCTTGTGTTTACTTCTTTTGTTCATACGGCCAAAGCTCTTGAACTAAGGCTCTCCAGGAGTGGCTGGATATGGTTAAGCAGAACCTTATGTGCTCCAGCTGCAATCTGGAGAATTTATGTATTGCATGTAAAATGCACATGTTTATAGAAAAAAAATAATTGATGGTATATAGTCATACTCTATCAATTTTACATATTTTTTTATTTGAAAAAAATATAAGAGAGCAATTATAATTGCTCTCTTATAGTAGAGGTTATAGAGGACATAGAGGTTATAGAGCTCTATGACCTAATTCATTCCCTTTACTTTCTGCAAAAGTCAGGTTAATGCTTGAAGCTTGTATTGTGTTGTGCAGTATGTACTTGTTCTGACTCGATTCTCCCCTTTCACATCACTTGTTGTCTAGCTGCTGAGGAAGAGACACATTGGGAACGACATTGTTACATTAATTTTCCAGGAACCAGGAGCACTACCATTCAGTCCCAAAAACATCCGCTCCCACTTCCAGCATGTCTTTATCGTCATTAAAGTACACAATCCTTGCACAGAACAAGTTTGCTACAGGTGAGAAAGGAACGTAGTACACACACACCCTTCCTCACGTCTTACACTACCTCTTGACAACCAGCACAGCTGATTTTAGGGGACTAGATATAGACTAACCAAAATTATTTGTTACTCCACTTACACAAATAAATACACCTATTTCACACTAGATATATATTTTGTGCTTTAGAGAGGTATCTCCTGAGGAAAATATTCTGTCTCTCTCAAAGATAAACTGAGCACACTCAAATCTAATTTTGTGAATAAAGACTTTCTCTTAAGGGAAAAAAAAATACATTTGGATACTGCCTCGGTGACCATTAGATATAAATTGTCAGTGAAGATTAGTGGATAATATTGAAGGGAATTTAATTTCGAGCCTTATTTACTCAGTAGTGTGCCTCTTAAAGTTGGGCACTTTTAGTATAGGAGAGAGATATGAGTGTTTTTGCACAGTACATTAACAATGAAGAATGCTAATTGGACTATCTCTCTGAATTCAGTACAAGAATGAAGTGAATTTGATTGAGGATTTCAGTATTTATTTGTCACAATCTTCAATAGTGTTGCAGTTGCAAGGTCAAAGGATGTACCAGCATTTGGTCCTTCAATCCCCAAAGGAGTCATGTTCCCCAAATCAGCAGTATTCCGGGACTTCCTGCTGGCCAAGATGATCAACGGTGAGAATGCTGCACACAAGTCTGAAAAGTTCCGTGCCATGGCCACACGCACCCGCCAAGAGTACCTAATGGACCTGGCAGAAAACTTTGCCAGTGCCACACCAGTGGACTCATCAGCAGCTAAGTTCAGCTTCATCACATTAGGTGCAAAGAGGAAGGAACGCAGCAGGCCACGAGTCAATGCACAACTTCACAGCACAGGCGCCATCACCTGGGAAGTGGTCCCCCAGGACTGCTGTCTGTCCACGGATGTTGGTTGCCTCCTGGCCATATCCAGAGAGTTCGTGGTGCTTATTGAAGAATCTTCCAAGGAGGTAGTGTTTAACTGCTATTGTAAGGATGTGATTGGTTGGAGCTCATTCCCAGCAGCGGGCAGAGTGAAGCTGTTCTATGAGCATGGAGACTGTGTAGTGTTTTCTGTTCAGGATGGCTGTGCTGAGGAGGTCCGTGAAGTCACACAACGACTTGAGGTAAGTGGACAGTCAGGAGTTGCCTTTACATTAGACATACATACACAGAGAATTTCTCTTCTTTCAGAAGAAAGTGCATTTATGGCTGTCTATTAAATTCCAACCTCTCTCCGTAGCTAAATCAGTTGTTCTCTTGTAGATAAGCTCCAATTTTTGTTGAATTTGTTAAAGCTGCCCTTTCTAAGTAGGGATTTTTGAGCCGTCTCTAGTGGAGATATGCAATTGCACTCATGGGTTGTGCCGCCATGTTTTTCATAATGGAGAGAAGAGGAAGTTGCCAGTCTAGTCCAAGGACTCTTTTTGGTACATTGGTAGGCTTGTGTAGATCCTTGTACCAAATAAAAAATAAAAAAAGAAAAGAAAAAAAATGTAAATGAACAGTGTTTTGCTAGGAACAAAAATGAAAACTCAAAATGCAAACACACTTTACTGTAGTGGGTGGAATGTGCAAATATTTGTGTCACTGTATAACTAAGAATACTCTTGGTTTTAGCATATGTCATAGTCTAGTGTACTTTTGTATATTTTTTCAAATAAAATCATTTTGGATGCTCAAGTAAACCTATTTTGTAGATTAACAATGGCACATTTTTCTGGATGTCTCTTCACTTTTCAGAAGAGACATATTTAACAACTGAACTAAATCTGAAATATTTTTAATGGGCAAAATAGTAAATACAGAAATTAACAATATATAGACTGTTGCCGATATAGCTTTGTAACCCTAATAAGATAAAGGCAAGTGTATGTAAAGCCCACAGCGGCTTCTCTGGGCCTGGAAACGATGGTGCTGAATGTTGTTTTGCATCCGAAAGTCATTTGTCTCATAAATGCATCTCTTACACTCAAGCTTTAATGTACGACTGTCAGACGCTGCTGGAATTTAGTAAAGACTAAGTGAAGAGTGTCATTGCTGGGAACACAGAAAGCTAACTAGTCTCCCTGCTAGGCTAATGGCTAACAGCTAACACCAGTTTATTCTACCACTCTCTTTTTCCACTCATTAGTTAATGACTCATTCCAATTCCCATTCTTGTGAATGCCATCAGTCCTGACCAAGACCCTGACCCTTTACAAGAACAAATCGAATGACTCTCCATTCTTAAGCTGTGCATCAATGCGTAACTCAACACATGGTTTCCCATGCTGCATTGTTAGAGGTGAATTAATATGATTCGCTACAGTCAATAGTTATTTCATAATTATTGAATTGTTTCATTAATGGAGATTATTATGGAGTTAAGCTTTGATCATTTGTAACTATTTTTTTGTTTTCCTAGAAATATCACACGATCGGTTAAATCCACATGTTCTTTTGAATCATATATGGATTTAACTCCATATCATTTCTTTTTAATCTTTGTGATTATCTTTAGAAGCCAAACTGTAAGTGAAGTTTGTAGCTTGTGTGACTGTACACCTTTCAAGCAAAATAGAGTTTCTGCCATCATATCTACAGAGATATTTGTGATAACTAGATAATGTGCTCAACATTTATGTTATGCTATCATGTGTAACTTTTCACTTAAGCATTGTTTTAGAAATGTTAGTGTTAATTAATACTAACTTTGGAATGATGTTCTTTTTTTGGAAATATCATTTCCTGTCCTGAGTAATTATCTTTCTTCCAAGTAGCTTTATGTAAATTGTAGTGTGAAATTAGAATACTTTTAGATTTATTAATCTGTAAGCTCGTGGTCTTCTTGTAATAGTTGTAACTGTAACTCTTGTAACTTTTGAAACAGTAATAATGGTATAGTGGTAACCACGCTGAGCAGTTATCTTGTGACGAAACTTGAGCAGACATGCAGACAAAAACTGCATATTCACTAGAAATTGAGCATGAAAACTCTTTACCCTGCCTTAGCTCCGCCCATCAGAGTTCCGGTCTCATAGCTGGGAGATAAAAGAACACACACACAGTCAAACAGGGACACAGAGAACAACTATGTAACCAAGACATAACAGAAGGCTCCCTCTCTCCTTTTCGTTTTGGCTTGATTCAAGTTTTTTAGCTTGATTTCTACTTTGTGTCTTTGTTCAGTTTGTTTTGTTTTCATTCACTCAGTAATCTTGGAGAAGAATGTTTACTGCATTCGCATGTTAAATAGCCTACCCTAGCTGCATCTGTTCTTAAGTTTTGTCAGTTCATTTTGAAAGTTCGATTGGCAATGATAGGCCATTGCAAAATCTGCGAGCATTGCTTAAGATTTATGGACAGAAGTAAGCAGCGCCGACAAGCCATCACCAAAGCTGGCAATTGTGAACCTGCACCCTGATCTTGCCAGCCAAGAGCCTGCCTTTCTTGCCGACTTTCTTGCCTCTTGCAGAGGCCGACACGAGCCAGCTGCTAGTCTGCCTCACCCAGTCAGATGCAACATTCCTGAAGTTCACCTCTTCAGCTGCCTCGCCATATTGACCCACGGACCCTTCTCCAACCCATGTGCACAGGCCATTGCTCTTTCTGAACTTCAAGGCTGTAAGGTTACTTCTTACTTCTTTTTTTTTTATGAGAGTCAGTTTTAGCTGTGTTATTCTGTCCTCCGCTTAAAACTAAATCTAAGTCAGTTGTTACGCAAGCGTTAATATTCTATTCTATGTACTGCTCAAACGGCATAAAATTATTATTAAACTATTTCCAAGGCTTAGGTAATTACAGTATGTTCTTCCAGCTGAATCTCATGTCTAGTTTTCTCTGCATGCCAGTTAATCTAGTATTAGTACCTTTATGTCATTGTATTAACTTAGGGTGCTTAATGGTTTAGGCTTTGATTGTATAGGTTGCTTATATTGTTTTTGCCCAACTTTGTTGTATACATCTCTGCTTTCCGATTTGAATTCTGATTGTCTTCTTTATCTGCCTGTCAAAAGCAGACTGATACTTCACAGGGAAAAAGTTAGCATTTTATTCAAACTAATCCCCAAAAGTCTTATGGTCAAAAGCATCTCATTTTCATTCAGTCAGTCATTTTACACACACTATGCAGCATCTTGAGACCTGACTGTTAATGATAGAAGAAGGTAGATAACTATGCTAGCATCCACAGCCTTTTTATTCATTTCACATTTTACCAACTCATACCTCATTACATTTAAAGATGCACTAGATAGATAACCAGGTCTGTTTGTTGTTAAAACAACCTCTGGTAAGTTAATATGGGCTATCTAAGTAAATAATAAATAATATGTTGGAGTTCAACATATCAATATGCTGGAGTTGGTCCCTCTTTGGTACAAACCTCAATTCCAAAAAAGTTGAGACAGTATATGCAATGCAGATAAAAAAGAAGCAATGATTTTATAAACCTGCTTTGACCTGTATGTGAGCGAAACCAGTAGAAAGACAAGAAATGTAATGTTTTTCCTTCTCATCTTCATTGTTTCTTTGTAAACTTCTGGGGCAATTTAAGACTAGAAACATTGTGAAGTTTTTAAAAACATCTTAAAAAGGTGAAGCAATCATGCATTGGTAAAACAAGGAACATTCAGGAAAGGCCTAGTCCTTTATGAGTAAGAATAGGTCAAGGCTCGCTGCTTCACAACAGATTAACAACAACGTTCTTCAGGAAGCGATTGCAAAGATTTTAGGTATTTCACCCCCTACACTATATAATAACATCAAAAGATTCATGGAATCCGAACTAATCTCAGTGCGTTAAAGGGCATAGCTGAAAACCACAACCGAATGCACATGACTCCTCAGATGGTACAAAATTAAAAACTGGCATGCTTCTATGATGGATATCACCACATGGACTCTGTGACAAAGCATTGCCAACAAACACCATATGGCATTGCATGCTCAAATGAAAGCCAAGACACAGTGGATATCATCTGGATATTGTTGACATAAACACCACTGACTTCTATGGGCTTGAGCTCATCTGAAATTGATTGATACACACTGGAAATGATTTGGACCTTTCAGATTATGTTGGACGTTGTGTTCTCCAGGCCAAAGAAGAAAAGGACCATCCAGATTGTTACCAGCAAAAAGTTTAAAAGCCAGTGTCTTTAATGGTATGGGAGGGCATTAGTGGGTAACCTGAACATCTGAGAAAAGCTTCATTAGCGCTAGACACATTTTGGAGCAACATATGCTACCATCAAGAAGATGTCTTTTTCAAAGGCATTCATGCTTATTTCAACAGGACAGTGCCAAGCTCCATTCTGCATGTTACAGCAGCATGGCTGTGTAATAAGAGAGTTCAGATGCTAGACTGGCCTGCTGGCAGTCCAGAACTCCCAGCCCAGTTTCCCACTGAAACTGTATGCAAAATACAACAATGAAGGCCCATACAGTTGCACAGCTAAAGACTTGTATACAAGAAGAATGGTAAAAAATGACACATTTGAAACTGAATAAGTTCATGCCTCAGTCCCCAAACAGTTATCAAGTGTTGTTAAAAGTTAAGGTAATGTAACATAATGGTAAACATGCATCAAATTTGGAATGAGCGTGTATTTCCAAAAGTTTATAAGGTAAAATGTAAAGTTAAGATATTGTGTTTTTGTGTAGTTTTTAATTTAATTCAGGTCAAACATAATTTAGTAATCACTGCTTACTGTGTTTAATAGAATTTCACATGCTGTCCCAACCTTTTTTTTAGAATTGGGTTTGTACTGTAACAACCTCCACTGACACTTGGGCCTTGCTCAAAGTTGCGTTCCGGTTCAACCCAAGAGTGTTTGATGTGGTTGAGGTCAGGCCTCTCTGCAGATCGGTGAAATCAAGCACTTCTCACATTTATTTCTGTCTATCTCTTGCCAAACCTGAGCTTGTGAAACTTGCTGTAGACAAGAAAATAAAACGATAACCATAATTATCACGATATAACTTTTCCTTGATAAAGCGATAAGAAAGGTTCAATAAATTTTCGATATAATACACCATTCTCACACTTCCATGTTCTAGCAAAAGCCCTGGGAGCATTTTCTGCTGCAAGGAACGCAACACTACTCTGCTGTCGCCAGGAGAAGGTGCACTTCCGAGTTTTTCGACATGATTAGAGAGGGAGGGGGCAACGAGTGAAATGAGTCTTTAGCAACGGCTGAAACGTGGAGTTATACATTCCCTGTTTGAGTGGAGCGACCGGCGATCTGTTCTCCTGTGACCAAGTGTGAGTGACGAGATCAGTGCCGTAACTGTATTGTCTTAAAGTGAACTCACCTCTTTCCGTACATCCTAACAAGCGTTAGCAGCGTTAAATTACGTGTGCTCCTCTCAACTAAAGTGCTGTTACAGTGCTCAAAAAGTCATTTCTAAGTGCGTTATTAGTGCATTCCCAAGCAGCGAAAGTGAAAGAAAGAAAGAAAGTGGGTTCAGGCAAGTTACAGCCCTGATTTAAACGAAAGTAAACTAAGGAAGCTGTGAGGCATTGGAAAGCAGGAGAACACTATCTTTCCAGACTAGCTTTTTTTAGCAGCTGGCTAGCTTGAAGCAGCGCTCCGTCACTTGCACAACACGGCAAATTGATGATACTGTAGATCAAACAAGACACTGCTTTCAGTTTAAACAGACTCCGTTTGTCTGGTGTTAAATATATTGCGTTTCATCCCTCAAACTACTGTAGAGAAATCCAGTGGTCTACTAGCTGGTGTCTGAATACTGTGATATGCCCTCACATGGATGGAGTGGGAATGATGGCAGTGAGGCGGTGTGATCCATCACTGAAGTACCGAGCCAGCTAATGTTTGCTGTTCGTACTAAGCTGATGTTGTTGAGAAACTAAACAGTTTAGCACTGTTGTTGGCCACTTGTTTAGCATTTGTAATGGAATAGCCTAGCATTCGTCACCAGACAGCTAAAAATAGTCTTTTCTTTCTACAAAAACTGCGGCCATGCTTTTCCAGCTGATAAAAACAGCTTACCAGATACTTTCTCCCACTCTCCCATAACAGATTTGTGAAATGTTCCACTGTTTGGTGAGTGTTTGTCATGTTCTGACCATAAAGGATAGTTTAAAACAGCAATAAACCACTCAGGAACAAAAATCAGCCTTCAAACTTTAAAGAGATAATGATTTATCATTTATTGCGATATGTATCGTTATCGAACAATATGAATTTTGTTTATCGTGCTAACATTTTTGGCCATATCACCCAGCTCTAACAAGCAGTCATTCTTTCCGTAGCCCTTTAGTCTCAAGAAACAGATTGGAAGCCTGTCTTGCTTCAACTGAGGACAGATCACTTCATGGCTGAACTCTTGTTGCTTCTGGATGTTTAAACTTCACAATAAGTGCAGCTCTAGAAGGGTAGAAATTTGACAAGCTGACTTGTTGCAAAGGTGGTATCCTTTGAAAGTGCTATTTTGAAAGTTACAATGAAAGTCACAAAGCTCTTCAGTACAACCAGTTCTTTTGCTGTGGTGATTTTATCCACAGCAATGAGTGTCGTGAAAATGGCCAGATCCACTAACCAGAAGAGGTATTCACATACTTTTGGCTTTTGGACATGTGAGTGTGTAGGAAGTGTCGGAACACACTTTCTGTTCGTTTCAAATAATGTATTCTCTTTCAGTTTCATCCCTATAAAATGTGTGTGTAGCATACTGCTCCAGTTATGTATACACCAATGTAAACACAACTGCTTAAGTGATACATCTTTAAAGAACCAGATTGTTTGTGATGACTGGGAGCATTAAAGCACTGCTGCTGAAAAAGACTACAGTGACTTGTTCAAACACCTGGAGACCAGTCACTTTTACACTGTAATTGATTTGACTTGAAGTTTGATTTGATGTTAAATATCTAAAAGTATGTGTGTTCCATTGTTTCATTTAAAGTAATTATTTGAATTGAATAAAACATTTTTACATAAATATTTTATGAAGCAATGTTATAATTGACAAACCATTTTTAGTATACTTCAATAGTGATGTAAAAGCAAAAATGTCATTTCTTTCTAAAGATATCAAATCTTTGGCATTTGCACATAGAGAGAACTGCTCTGTTGAGGAAGCAGTACCCCTGGCTTCTGATCAGGTCTACACACTCTTGGAAGGCAGGGGCTTTCGTTTGGATGCTTTTTGTTGACTATAAATTGGCTTTTAATCTGATCCATACCCTGTAACGTGGTCTTTACGATGAAACAACTGGGAGTGGGACATTCTGTGGGTGTTGTTTTAATATAAATATGCTGATGACATCTTACTAAATGGCTTTGTCATTTTGGAGGATGAAAATAAGACAAATGGTTTAAAGGTGCACAAAATCTAAAATACTTGACCTCTAATGGTTAAGTAGGTGAACTACAACACTGCTGGAAGTATTTTTTCTTTACTTTTCAGATCCGCCACCTATCAACACAAACTACGCCCTGTAAATTGTGAATGCCCTGTGCAGTTCATTTAGAGTTTGCTAGCATTAGCAATGGTTGTGATGACCTCGCTTTTTTAGTGATTAGGTAGGCTGCTTTTAAATAAGGGTAATGCCTTTCTTCGTTATTTGGATATAGATGATGTAGTATGGCATTATGCAAACATTGCTTGAGAGGAGATCAGAATACTCGGTATAGCCTTTATTCTACTTGGTACGTTGTGGTGACAAATCCAGTACATTTCAGAGAGACTGTTCCTCAAACCATGCTATTGAAATATTCTCCAAATACTTCTTTGTATAGTAGTAATGTTTGGCCAGAACAGGCATCAAACTCCTCAGTCTCCTTTGTCCAGGTGAATAGCAAAGTTACAAGCCTATAAGTATTTAAAATTCTGTTTAGTCAGGAGTGTCTTTGCTGCCCTGTTTTTCTTTGTAATGAGTTTTCACAAGTTTTTCAGTAACCTGTCACTACCATGCCAAAACGTCTCTACAGCAGTGTTTTCAGGTGGGGTAAAGTAAGTTCGCATTGTTACATGTGCTGGAGTTTAATGCAGTTGACTAGTGTTAGCCTACATCTCTATGAAGCATTACCAGGCTTTCTGAGTGAAAGATTTATTTACTCAATTCATGTAAAGTCAGCCATTCAACCAGTTCAGCGCACATATTGTGTTCACATACTTGTCCAGATGGTACATTGCTAATCCGGCATCCAATTTTATCCCCTTTTCATGTAATCATCCTCAGTAGAATCTTGTTTACTTCCCTTGTGTTTTGTTGTAGCAAAGTCCTAAATACAAGCAAAACTGTCACACTTTACAGCCCTGTTAAAACTTAGTCTTTCACTGAGTTATTGAACTGCATATTTTCTTCCTGTCTTTCCATGATGCAGCATAATAAATATCCGAACAGTGATTTCATTATTCACATACTGGCACCTGGAAAGGTTATGAAAGTGTGTGAACAACTGTGCATTACTAGATTGTTATAGATCCCAAAAGAATTTAATTTGCTGAATATGAAACCTCAAATGTGTGTGTATTTTTGAGGACGTTAAAAAAGAAGTTGGTTTTGATTTTCTATAGAGAGCATTTTTCCTGCTCTGACAGTCTGGTAGCTGAGCTTGAATGCCACTTTGACTGGAAAGTGCTTGGGTGAGTTGCTGCTAAGAGGATTTTTGGGGTTGCCCTTCACCACATAAAAATCTAAATAGTAATACACCATAAATGTACAGTACAGTACAGTATGCACCTGTTTTGAACCAGCACACCTACATACGAATCAGACTTCAGGAAAATCTCTTTTTAAGTTTAATAATTAAACTATTTTGTATTGAATGTTTTTAATGATACAATCTGTACCAATCTCCCCTTTGCAGATAGTCACTAGAGGCTGTGAGACAGTAGAGATGGTTCTGCGCAGGAACGCTTTGGGCCAGCTGGGCTTCCATGTGAACTTTGAGGGAGTAGTGGCCGATGTGGAGCCTTTCGGATTTGCTTGGCAGGCAGGGCTACGCCCAGGTAGCCGCCTAGTTGAGATTTGCAAAGTCACTGTTGCAACGCTGTCTCATGAGCAGATGATTGAGCTGCTGCGGACTTCCACCAATGTCTCGGTGGTGGTTGTTCAGCCACATGAGGATGGGACGCCTAGAAGGTACTGCATGCATCCTTTCACTTAGAGCTAATCTTTAGTCTAAGGACCTATGGAGAGGACTAAAGAGTAATTCACTTAACCTAGATAAACTAAGAATGATATTTGTGTTAGTTTTTGGGGGGTTGATCATGAAAAGTAAACAGGACTGGAATAGAGGCAGTTTTAAACTCAGAACATTTACAACATGTGCCTTTGTTGGGATTGTAACATTAAACATTTAACTAATTAGTTTTCCCTTACTGGGGTTGTCTTACTCCAAGCCCTCAGGAATGTTATTTGTTGAAAGTCAGTGTTTGGAAAGAGTTTGTGTGGTTAACAATGTTTTCAACTATGTTTTTGTTAGGTTATATTACTTTATGTAATATATTTTTATTTACTTCATGAAAACCAACAGGAAGATGCCTAATGGTTTAATTTGGCAAGCTACATGTCTATTATAGAGGAGACTCAATGGCTAACACAGAATTGAAAGTTATATCAGTTAATATTTTATTGTAAAAGGAGTGCTAAATCCTATTAAGAGAAGCAACATTTTGACCAAAATAAAGAAAGGAGCATCTGTTTTTGTTTTTTGTTTTTTTTTTTGTTTGTTTGGTTTTTTTTTTGCTGAAAACCTATCTGAGCGCCTCTTAACATGAGAAATTCAAACAAATGGGATTTTAAAAAATCTTTAATTTCCTCATATAAATCTGGTCCAAGAAGGTGTCCCCTTCAAACAATTTACAGAAATCAAAGACAAGGAAGGGAGGTCTATTTTACTTTCTGGAAGAATAGAGGGTGTTAAATTAACAATATTGAATGTATATGCTCCTCCTGGTAGCAATCTTAAGTTTTATCAGAAAGTGTTTGAACTAATGGCTGCATATTCATCTCAGTCCAAAACTAGATTTGACAAACATTTCATCTCAAAGGATAACACCACTGCATTAGCAAATAAAAATATTAATGGAAGAAATGGAAATTGTGGATCTTTGGAGAGACTATTACCCAACTGGGCATGACTATTCTCATTATTCATTCCCCCATTATGTGTATTCAATAATTGGTTACTTTCTTCATTGTCTGTACTGCTTAGTAATAGCCCTAGAAATAGAACCTGGAGAATAAACTCAAGTATTTTCAACAGTCCCCAATTTAAAGAGAAAATGAAGCAAGAAATAAAAATATTTCTGGAAGAAAATGATAATGGTGAAGATTTAACCTGAGATCTTATGGGATGCTTTGAAGTTAGTTATTAGAAGCAAAATTATTAGTAACTGCACTCTTAAAAAGAAAACAAAACAAATGAATGTAAAATTAAAACATTTAAAGATTAAAATTAGGAATGAAATATACTATACACCAAAGAAATAGATTAAAAAATGTTGTGAGAATTTGGGTGGAAGTGTGTTAGTTTTTTTTTATTTATTTATTTTTTTAATTACTCCAAAGCAGAAACTTACAGAAAATCAAAAAAGATGTTAAAGTATGTTTGGGGAGCAGGAGGCTGGCCACTGAAAACTATATTTAGTGTAGAATTTCCATGTGAATTTGACACACTTTTAGTAGGGGTGATAAATATTGATGTAATAAGATTGGCCAAATATTTATGGGACATTTTATTAATTGCAAGTAAAAAAAGCTGTAACAAGGAAGTAGCTGTCTCCTGTACCACCTCACACCCCCCACCTCACACCCACACACACACACCCACACACACACACCCACACACACACACAGTGGATTTTTGGCCCCTCAGGCGGCACTGCATTAAAAATGGACATGATTCTCTAGTGGAAATCACTGTATGTATTGCATCCACAAATGCAAGTTAAAACTGTAAAACGCAAAGAAGAAACTGTACATAAACCAGATCCAGAAATGCTGCCACCTTCTCTGGGCCTGTGCCCGGCGAAGTGAAAAAGTGTCCTGTTGTTCGACAAATCAACATTTGAAATTCTTTTTGGAAATCATGGACACTGTGTCCTCCAGGCTAAAGACCACTCAGCTTGTTATCAGTGCACAGTTCAAAAGCCAGTACTTATGATGGTATAGGGGTGCATTAAAGCATATGGCATGGGTGACGTGCATGTTTGTGAAGGCACCATTTATAAATCTTTTTCAGGGAAGGCCTTGCTTATTTTAGTATGACAATGTCAACCCCATCCTGCACGTACAACAACAGCATTCCTCCGTGTTAAGAGTTCGGGCGCTAAACTGGCGTGCCTGCAGTCCAGATCTGTCACCCATTGATAACATTTGGCGCATTATGAAATTAAAAATATGACAAAGGAGACCCCCAAGTGATGAGCAGCTGAAATCCTGTATCAAGCAAGAATGGGAAATCATGTCACTTTCAATGTTAAAATTTATAAAATTATGGTTAAAATGGGTCAACTCTATGTAGTCTATGAAGCCATTGTTCGTTGAGATACAGTGTGAGTACTGCCCTTTTTCCTTAATAAGTTATTTTTTAGTGTTTTTTCATTAGTTTATTTTTTTGTCTACAGGCATCTTTTCAAGTTTTAAAAATGTATACTTAGTTGTTTTTGTTTTAAGAATGTTTAAAAGGTGGGGGGGGGTTTAAAGAATAAAAAGGAGGAGAGCTATGGGTTATGTGTGTGGAAACGTATGTTGTCATTGCATCTCTCCCCCTAAAAAATACAGTTAAAAAACATTAAACCATTAGTTATGCTTGGACAAAACCTTTTCGTTTTTAATTTGTTTCCTGGATGATTATGTACTTTGTGCTTTATGTAAAGGCTGCTGTGTAATTGAATTTGGTGTTTGATATCATTGTTTCTTAATTAGTAGTGAAGTTTCACTTTTCCTTTAGAGAGGCACACAGTATCTGTTAAGAAACAAGCTTAGATATTTAGTGTCATGACCTCAGAAAAATCAGATATGTATGAAGACTCACAAATTATGTTTGATAAAATAGCCAACAGTGGATGGTCACAAAAACATAGGCTGGATTGATGCCAAGATTAGGCCCAAGCTATACATGACAAGTGACAGGTGTGACAGACATGACCATGTAGTAATAGACAAAAATAAGCAGAACAGAATGTTATAGGTAAAATGACATCACATACATGGTGCAGCACACAATACTGAAAATAATAACATATACACCAAAACATTACATAGCAGTACATACAGCATCTTATCTCAAGTTAGCCACCCAGTTTCCATTTCCAGTTCCCAAAGCTTTTACTGCTGCATTAGCTGCACGAGCATTATTCTTCCTAATAAACACATGTTCAACTCAGTCTCCTTGTTATTCACCACCATTGCCACTGTGTTTTATTAAACCAATAATCACTTATATTGACAGGGGCAGGTAATAATGGTAGGAAACATGTCTTCAGTGTCTGGGATTTTTTTGATGTACAGATTTAGGGAAAAAAACTTAACTGTCACAAGGGAAACCAACATTTAGCAACATGAGTAAATGTAACACCATTATGCCAGAACTAGTTATGCTGGCTGTCGCATCTGACAAATGCAGTGTCATTGTATTTTCAGTGGAATGACAAACATAAGAAATGAAAGGTTGATACAGAGGTTAGGACACCGCTTGAGTTGTCTATTTAGGAAATTTTGTCTAGTTAGGATGATTCTGTAATACTGTAACACTCTTATGAGGACTTAGAATCAGTTTATGAAATTATGACCTGTTTTTCTGTGATAGCTATTGCTCTGAATTCAGTCCCAACTGAAGTTGTGGTGACTAAAAAAAATAAGATTTCAGGGTTAAGATGCCCCTGATTTTGTCAAAAGGAACATACAGTGTCATAATACATGTATAACCTCCTGGCCATTTCAAACCTGATTAAATCCATCTGAGTGTTGCCATTGATCTAACTAACACATCAAGTTAGTCTATAGTATTGCCCTGGATGCTTTTATATTTTCACATTTAGATACATTGAGTTAATTTTGATGAACTAAACTGTTCAACGAGTGCGTCCAGTTACCACAACCATGCTCGTTAGATTAATATTTTACTTGTAATTATGCATGTTGTACTTCATTGCTGATGAGATAAAAACTTGAATCTCTAAAGTGGTAACTTTACAAAGAAAACATCTTTGAATAGAATGAATGGTCCATTTTTCATTAAATTTTAACACATTAAATAGGACAACAGACATTTTCTGAAAGAAAGGGAAAAATTAATTAATTAATAAATAAATAAATAAATAATTCAGTGTGGAGTTTTTGTCCCAGTAGCAACAACTTGAAAGTGTTCATTAAGATATGAGGCCACTTTGTTGTAAAACTATTTTATTAAACTAGCTTAGTGTTTGTCTATGTCTTATTGTCTTTGTTACAGCGATTACATTGAGAGAAGACGAAGGGCTGCACTTTTTTAGCCCAGCAATCTGTGTGTAATGCTGTGCTCTGAACTGAGTTCCTCTGTTCTGCACTCTTTCTCTCTGCCAGGGCTTGCTCAGAGCTGTGTCGCTTCCCCGTTGTGGAGTACAAGACAGTCAGCGCTGGAGCTGGCTGGCATCGCATGATGCATGTGCCCCAGGGTCCTCCTGTGGACAGGCCCTCCTGTGGACAGCAAATGTACCAGTGTGTGGCCATCCCCCGCAGTACCTCCTTTGACAAGAAATACCACGATGGTACCAGGTATTTTTATGTTCTTTCTCACAGCTCGCTCATGTGATGACAATAGAAACAGCAATGTTTTTAAAACAAAATTAAATGGTTCATTAGTTCAACCTAAAATAACTAACTATATGTGATCAAACATTTAACTGGGTTTACAACTCAACTCAAATTTGAATGAACTTTGAATGAATGAAGCTATCAGAGATAAAATGTTAGTTTAGATGAATAGGTTTTCCATTCAAATCTCAAAAACACTTGAAATCAGCTTCTGCCATGTTCTACTTTTTACTAGGCAGTTGGAGAGATGGCGGAGCAAAAGACTGATACAGATAAATAAGTGAGGCTGGGAGAGAAAAGTGAGCCAGAAAACATTTAAAAGTGTGGTAGAAGAACTCGGTATGCTGATACTTGACTCTATCACCCCAAACAGCTACACACTGCAGGGGAGTTTTGTTAACTGGCAGCAGTCTATGTGTTTGTGTGTGAGGGTCAAGGTTAAGGATTGCACTTTTTCAGTGTCGAGCATTTTTTTTTTTCCTGTAAACCTCTCTCCTGGACAGTCAGTGCACAGAAAAGATAAAGATACCAACAAAAGGAAAACAAATAATTTGTTCTGGAAAGCAAATATTTTTGCAAACATCTTTGCATGAGAATAATTCTGATCATCTTCTGTCTTTTTTATAGCGGTGATAAACTGAAGTCTTTATATATGCTCATCGTCAAAAAAATAGTCACACCCAGAAGGAAGTGTCGGATTGCAATGCTATTCGGAAGGAAGATAGTGTCTCTCAGTATGGTGTTGGGCCACCATGTTTGCTAACATAACGTGCCAGAGTCTTGGCATGGAGATGTAGAGGTTCCCAAAGGTGTCCTGCGATAGTCCATCCCATGCAGCTTGAATATTCTCATGCAGTTCCTGCAGATTTTGTAGTAGGTGTGGAGTGTTGATGGCTCGTCCGATAGCATCCCATGCAATTTCAGTTGGGGATAGGTCTTGCGGTGTGGCTAGCATAGTATCCGTGTCTTCAAGGCAAGCTCCTGAGATGACACCAGTCTGCGGACGAATGTTGTCCTGTTGGAATAGTGCACCGGAGTGTGCGTTCAGAAAAGGGCCACTGGTTGCAGGACCTCATTAACATAACGTTGGGCTGTCAAAGTGCCTGTAATGAAGACCAAAGCTGATCTGGCATCATTTGAAATTGCACCCCACACCACGACACCAGGCCTTCAGGACATGTGACGCGCGACAACAAACCATTCATCTTGGCACTGACCACGGTGCTTCCACACATGGATTCATTGGTCATCTCCACCAAGACAAAAGCGGGACTCGTCACTGAAGGTGACTCACTGCCGTTGTGACAGTCTGACACAACACCATTGCAGTCTTTGGCGACATTGACGTGGTGTTAAGGGCAGTTGTCATAACAGTCTGCGTGCATGTAGTCCTTGCTTACGTCACATGCACGGCTAAGCGTAAAACTTGAATCATTTGGATGTCTCACGATGTCAAACCTACCCACCGAGTTTCATTTCTGTCGGTTGATTCCTTCTGGGTGCAACTATTTTTTTTGACGATGAGTGTATATAGTTTTTGTATACACTGCGTATGATATTACTCATTATAATAACCACAAATGCAGTTTTTATCCCCTTCAGAGTTCAAATGTTATGAATTACATGACTCACCCTCCAGAACTAAGCTTTTTTTACTTACACATTTCATAAACAGCTGGTGTAGTTTCAGGAACATACAGAGTTGGTTATGGAAGTCTTAATGTTTATAACAAAATGCACCATGTTATTCTCATTACTGGTGTTCTATGCTGGGAATGCCACAACACCTTAGCACTAAAGGAAAACAAGCTTTTTTTTTATTTTTGATTATTCATTCAAACATACAGACACTTTACTGATTCAGCTGCTGACTTGGAAAGTAGTTTGGGAAAACCCATAGCAAACAGGCTGGGATGACGTATGCAGCTCAGAGAAGCAGGGAGGTGGAAAGGAGCTATTGAATATGTCTGTTTGAGGGGCACACTTTACTATTCAAATGTTTGGAATTACTATTTTCAAAAATCATACATACGTAGTTGGTTATTCTAATCTGCTAGTACTGTGCAACTACTGTGCAGGTTTCAAATAATTTGTAGGACACTATCCTGTGGAAAAAAAAGATACATATACAATGCATATATAAAATATACAAAAGCTGCAATAAAAATTAAAATGTGACCAGAACAGTGAACATTCTAAAAATTCTAAAATAATTGAGTGATGCATAGCATCAAGAATTAAGCTATAATAAAATTAATATCCAGTATTAAAATGTATAAACTGACATACAGAGTTTACATGAAAGTGCCTGACATTTCTCCCTATAGTATTCCTTCCACTGTTTAACAACTAGCTTTACATAACTAGGTTCTCTTCTTTGTGTGTCCTGTGTAGGATCCTGCATGACTTTGAGCTGGTCCAGAGCTCATCAGGAAACCCTAGTCTGCCCTATTGTAGCTCTCCCAGTAACCAGTCCACTTCTAGTGACCCAGGACCCTGTGGTACTTGGAGCCAGAAAGTTGGGTACGATGGGTAAGACCATCACCACAGCATTGAAGTGTTTTGGTCTCCAGAGCCTTATGACCTATTATTATTGTAGAATAGAATAGATCAGGACAAAAGAATGCATGGGAAGAAGTAAGGTGCCTTTCACTAGTATTCACAGAATGGCACTAGTATTCAGTCAGCTGTTCAGATACTGACAAAGACAGAACCCCAGCAGCAGGCCCTTTTCCCTTTCCTGTATATATTGGTGTTTAAGTGATGTGAACTGCAAGCTGGGTAATATAAATTATGTAGGTGCTGAAGAAAGATTCACCCAGAGCATGTTTTGACTGATTAAAGACACAGGAAAAAGGAGAAAGAAGAAATTCTCTCTAGAAGAACTTGATGTGGAGTCCAATTGGAATGAGATGTACCAAAATACGAGTGAAAAAACTTAAAAAGAAAAAGGTCAGGGTGACCAACCTTCCTTCTATTATGCAGAACGGTCGCAAAAGTTTTGCCTCGTGTCCTGCTAATTTTCAGTGCAAAAAATAAAATGTTTTATTTCTAGAATTCCTTGTTCCAGTGATCACTTTGCAAATTTCATTGCCATCCTTAGCACCACTGCGAGTAGATATGGCCTTGTACACCTGAAAGTATCCAGATAATTAGAAGATTCAGCTACAAGCTCTGGCGTAGCTTCAGCTAATATTATTTATAGCTTACTGTCAGCTATAAAAATGAACAAAACTTCACTGGTGTAGCTGTGCTCTAAGGGCATCCTGTCTTACTGTGTCCTAATGCACACAAGTCTGGACAACTTTAACAATACCCTGAAAGTGGTTTTAGCAAAGTTTTGGGCATGTATTTACTGTAAAAGATAGCATAGAACAAGTGCAAAACTAAAGAAGCAGTATTAGGACAAAAAAACATGTCTTGGCTGATCAGCTACGTCTGTGGTAAATGGAAATTATTATTCTTTTAAATTGCATGCACATATGATTGCTATGATTGTGAAATCGTCTGGTGTTGGCTGAAACAGTAACTACAGAATTCCTCATGTCTTCTGGTAGCAATGTCGAAACAAGAACTGTTTGTTGAGACCAGTGTAATGTTTTCATTTCTTTACTCATTTAGACATTGCCTTAGTCATTTGACATAAATGTCTTTTAAATTTTAGACAGTTTTATAGGTTTTTTTTTATTTTTTTTTATCTGTTTTACTGTGAATAAAGTGGCAGTTAGTTTTAGTCAACGAAAAAACACCCTTTTTGTTGACAAAATTGTGTGCAATTGTCTAACTGTGAAACAACAAACTGTAACCCAGCAGTTATGTAACTTTACAAATCAGTTAGTAGCTAACAGTTATAGGCATAAAGTACAAGCTATACCTACGTTGTACAGCCTGGCACTCATTTTTGGGCGAAGTATTAAGCCAACCAGTTGACAAGCTAACAGATACGTGACTGATTTGGGGTACGGTAAGGGCTCATTTGTCTGCTGTGTCAGATTGCAGTTCATGAGTACTCATGATTCTTGAGCACTCATTGAATTTACTCACAAGTGGTGGCACAAATTCAGTAAAAGTCTTTTACTAAATTCAGTGACATTATTGTAGGATATTGTTTATAAGGCTACATGACACCTACATAAGCTTGTCATGACAAATGACATAACCCTACATAAATGTTTATTCCAGTAGGTGTCATCTGTCATCATAAAGGCTACTTTAGCTAATTTTGATCAAAATTGGCAAATGTAGCCTTTATAGTGTAAGATATAGGTTGAGTTGGTGCAGAAATGAAGTAACGACAATGTTTTTGCCAGATTTATTCGAAAAATCTGTCAGGCCAAAACAGGTTTTTATGGGATTGAGAATAAATAATGATCATGGCAAAATTGGTTGATTTAAATGTTTACATTTAAAAGGTAAAAGATTAAACACATAAAATAAATTAAAAAAGAATGGCGCTTGGTCTGCTCCAGCATTTTGTCTGTCTCTCTCCCTCTGTTCCCAAAATACAGATAACTGCCTGCTACTATCCAGAATATCCAGCTTCTTGAGGCTTTGTTCAACCACCTTGAAGTATGCCTTCCAAATGCACAAACTAGATAGATTATAATGATGCCAAAGATGATAGTGATGTTCTTTTGGTATAATTTATTACTTCTTGGGCAAAGCATGACCTGTTATTGATGACCATAACTGCCATTTGGTCACAAAGACAGAGCTCCCCTGGGTCTATAGATGTGTTTCTGTGCAACGTCATCACAGAGATGTGTGCACAACTAGGGGGCAGAAAGCAACAGGAAGTGACACTTTTCACGGCTTAAAACAACATTGACAAGGAACTACAACACATCTAGATGATTTAGACAAGGCTGAAGTCAGCTTTCTATTCTCCAGCTCCTTATTCGAATTTTCCCCTTCCAACCTAAGTGGTGCCTGAGTGGGCAGTGGCCTGAGGTGCCTGAATGTAACTGCTGCATCGTTTAATGTGAACTGGAAACTTTGAACAAAAAGCTGAGCAATACTAAAGATACCACCATGCTCCTGATACTGTCAGATAAGGAGAGGATAGACAGACTCAACAAATAAACCAGGTTAGCTGGGAAATTCATAGGATATGTCAGGAATATTTAGTGAATGGCAAATTTAGTTAGGTGTTCAGAGATCTGACGACTAGCCAACACTGATAGTCAACTATTGTTAGCTAACATTTTACACAGTATTAATGTGCAAATGAAAAACAAACAGATCCAACTCCAAAATGGCATTTTATTATTGAGTCAACAAGAACATGCAAATAATGTGAAATCTATTGTTTACCTCAGTTGACTAATGTTACAATCTTGTGACTAGCAAGATTTACCAAACCCCCCATCTGTGTGCACACCCATTGATGTTTGTAAACTGGAAACCCATCTCTAAGTCCCCAGGCTATCCTTAAACTCATGCGATTCTAAAATGATCAGCCCTTGAGTATAAGCTAATCTCAGCAAATCAGTGATACATATAACCAAAGAACATAACATTCAAGGGTAGACAGGACACAATTATCTTTCAATAGTAAATGAGTTATGTCAGTTGACATGATAAGCTTATGTAGGTGTCATGTAGCCTTATGAAAAGTACCCTACTGTAAAGTGTTACCGTAAATTCTTTGTGGAAATTTCAGGCACCAGTGCTGTGAGTTTCCAAATGCAAGCCACTTCTAGCACCATGTAATCATAGCTTTCTACAACGAAACAGCCTCCACATACCTCTAGTTTGCTGGTTTTCTCTCTGCCCCTCACATGCCCTTACCCAGAATCTTCACACTGGGTTGGACAGCTATCACCACATAAAAAAACCTCTGACATGACATTCCCCAGTTGAGCTTTCTGAGAGTGGGAAGTGTACGTTATCTACTTTGACACCATGTCCTTGATTCAGTAATATGTTTCTAATCTAATAAAGCAGAAAAATAGTGATAATGTAAATTTATTCATAATGTTATTTTCATTTTGTCATATTTTTGGCATCAGTAAGTTAAAGTAGTTTTGATATCAGTATTAAGAATTTTTCTTTTCGTTGTTGTTAACAAACTGAAAAACCCGTCGTCAACCAGCATTTTTTTCAGTAATTTCTCAGGATTAATACTGGTTAAGTGCTATATAATAGATGTTTCTATGGTCAAGCAACGGTACACGGTCACTGTAGTGATGAATTAGGCCTCATTGTCTGGCATTTTTTCTGGGATTACCAGGTGCTAGGAGAATACTACATTGATGCTTGAATGCATAATGTAAAGTGAGATAGAGGTTGTTAAAGTGCTCTGGGGTTGTTTTTCATGCTTTTGTAAAAGCTCCTTAGTTCGCAGTTAGACAATTTTGTGCTTCCTAATTTGTGGCATAGTTTGGGGAAGGCCCTTCATTGTTTTAGCATGACAATGTACTCCATGCACAATGCAAGATTCTTACAGAAAGGATTTGTTGAGAGTGGATTGGAAGAATGTGACTGGTCTGTACAGAGCCATGACCTCAACATCATTTGGGTACAAGTGGGATAAGTTGCTATGCTATTTGTGAGAAAAACCTAATCGGCTAGCTCGTACCTGACCTCACTAATGGCCTTGTTGATGTAATGGAATGAAGTCTCCTCAGAAACATACAGTCAAATATTAAGACATTCCAAAATTAATACGTGGATTCATAGAGCCTCAGGTGCAGCGTTTTAGTACAGTTTCAGCAGAGCAGATTATGTGAATTAAAATATGTAGTTAAATATGTAATTTGCACACTTTCATATGTAGGTTATCTATAAGAAGATTTTTTGATGGTCAATAAGACAAAATGTTAGACCATGAGTCTATGCAAAAGATGGAGAGAAAACTGTTGGTTGCCACTGCTTTTGTCTAATGTGTAGATGCCAGTCCCCTGCTTTTCACAACCAGGCTGAAGGGAAGGAGACAGAAGGCTATAGAGTACAAGAATCCAGACTGGACCGGGCCAGATCTGCTGGTAAGCTTCACATCTCATTGAACTATAGTAAGATTCAAGATGCTTTCAACAGACTATGTAGGGTCATGAAAAATTTAGCAAATTATTTTCAGTATCTTTTTTTGTTTCAGAAGCCAAGTGGCACATCCCATCCACTAGGATACTGAACAGAGATATGCAGAAGCAGGAAATAAAAGACTTGCCCATAAAATTCCCACAGGTGCGTAAAATAGGTCTTGGTAAATGTTACAAAAAATGGTGAAATGCGTTTTAAATCCAACAGTGAAAAGGAGAATATCCTGCAGTACAAAGACTGTAGGACAAGGACTTCTTTGTGTTGTTGACCTATTTTCATATCCCCTCTAGGTTCCTTGCCTGCTTAGAAATGCACGCCCCTGTGTTCAAGTGCCATAGTGCCAAAACCCTTTTTAAGTGTAGACATGTCACACAGTTTTTTTTTTTTTTTGTTTTGTTTTTGTTTTTTTGTGGAGCATAACACAATATACAGCTTATATTCTGTACCGCCACGTCTTCACAGAGACAGAGAGTTTCTAAGCATCAGGTTAAATACCAATTTAGCTGATCTATGGAGCATGAAAAGGTCAAAGCTCCTTCTGCCATTTTCTTCTGACGTTTTTCCTAGCAGCAAGAAATCATGTTAAATTTATATCCCTCTAGTTTGCACTACTTAGTTCAGATGATCCCTTTATCTTTCTTATGTTGAGTGGAAGTTGGTCAGTTTTTTGATAATGTATCTGTACTGGTTTTAGGAAAAGGAGTGAAATTTATTTTTATACGAGCTAATAATGGTGAACCTTGGTAAATTATTTTCAGTGATGTACACTGAAGTTCAAAAATCACCCACTTACAATTTATTTGAAATGGCTTAGATTTAGAATGTGCAATCATCTAATGGAAAAATCAATTATTCATTTCCATTAGATCAGTAGAAGTCGCCGAAAAAGACTAGTGCAATGCATCTGTATAAGGTTTTGCATGGATAAAAGCCCTCAGACTCTGTTATCCATTAGGTTTAGCTGCCTTTGGTCTCTGAACAAAAATCATATTTACAATAACTGCATTTTCAGTTACTTATATAAAGCCATGACACGCTAGATGCTGAAAAGCTAAATATTTTCAGATCCTTGTGAAGTTCCTAAGCATGTCATGAACCTGTGCAAGGCAGGTCTCTAGTGAAAAACAGCTTAAAAAATATACTCGTTTATGTTAAAGAGCATGGATTGCAAGTTATGCTTCTGTCTGAGGACGGTGTTCATGATGTCAAAATGGTTAAGCATTTGATAACTGTAGAATGCTATGTTTTATAGGCCCAAAAGAAGAATGGTCACAGTCATTGCTCTAGTCACTCCAGTAGCAACACTCTATCCAGTAATGCTTCAAGCAGCAGTGATGACAAGCGCTTTGGCTCAGGAGACCCCATGGATCCTGCAACCCTGGACCTCACTTACATTAAAGGTGCATCCACTGACAGTGGCATTGACACAACCCCCTGTATGCCCGCCCCACCACCTCTTCCACTGACCATTCCAGACGTAGACCCTGTGGAAATTGTGCCAAGGAGTGATAGAGGACAGACAGGCTTTCCTTGGGCACTGGAGTACCAACAGGAAGAAGAGAGGGAGGGAGACAGGGAGAAGATGTTACTGACGCAGGGTCATGTCTCCGCTTCAGCAGTAGGCCATGCCACTGATGGCAGCACAGGGAACTTGAGTGAAATCTCCTCTTTATCCAGGTACAGTGGAGAGGAACATACACCACATCTCATCTGACAAATTCAGAGAAAGCTTTGGTTTTTGGATCTTTTTGTCTCTCCGGTGTTGTCTTTGAAAAAGTTTTCTCTAGTTCATTTGTATTGTGCGGCCGGCAACAGTTTTTTCACTTTCCCTACTGCTCCATCTCCAAACTCAACTCTGTAAGTGTGGTTTGAACAGGACACTCAAGCCTAGCTAGGAGAGTGTAGTCTTTAAAGTCTTTGTAATCAGTCACTGCCAAAGCAGAAAGATGTGACTGAGCATGTTCCGGCTAAAGCAGCCTGTCATCCTGACTTGTAGAATTAAGACAAAATATAAACAGCCATTACAGTGTTTTACTACCTTAAACTTGATCTCCTACTAGACCTATTAGCTACTGTGGAATGCTTACATATAAACTGACAGAAGAAGAAGAAGACTCTTTCAAGTGCTCTTTCAATAAAAGTCACACAAGCATGACACAGCACAAGTTGCCATTCATAATAGTTTGTTGTCCTCTCTAGACTCCCCAGGTATGAGAGAATGGCCATTTATTGGAGGTGTAAGAGCAGCATAGAGATTATGGGTAAAAGACCTTTGGATCTAGTGATAGACACAATTTTGGCATTAGTAGGGTTAGGATTAGTTTAGTCAAGAATGTTAATATAAAAAACTGAACAGCACCTAATTTACATTAGGAAATTGGTGTAATTTTAATTAGGGGAGGAAGGAAAAAATCATGAAAAGTATTCTGATGTTTTGGATAAATAAACAATATAGAAGTAATGGTCCAAGTATTGGTGTGTGTTGTTTTTTTTTTGTTGTTTTTTTTCATTCATTTTTCCAATTTTTTCAACATTTATGATGCTCACAGGCATAAGATTGGATATCAAAATGCATTGTTACTTTAGTCTGCCAGATGGTGCTGAGAAATCTTTATTTTCCCTTTCTGACCAAGGCCTCTGTCAGTGATTGCTGGATAGCATGCTGGGTAACATTCACCATCCCCACACGAGACCAGGGTTTGGTTCATCCTTCAGGCAAGAATGCCATTGCTATAGCAATAAATTAGTCCTTGGGGTTAGTTCTAATGTTACATTTAACTATAATTGTAAATCACTCTGGATTGCCTGGATTAGACAAAGTTTAAACTTTATTAGATACGATTTTCTTTTGATTTTTCTTTTTTCCCTTTTATGTAACACTTTTCAGATGTTACTTATGTGGTACTGAAAAACTAGCATTATAGGGTCCTTTACTGTAACTTTTGGTCAAGGATGACTTCTGCAACCTTACTTCAAACAGCAATACTTTTGTGTTATCAAAATTTAGCACAAGAAAGGTTCTGGTCATTCTGACTTCTTCCATTATGTGTAACTGTCATTGAATCTGGCTGAGCTCATATTTGTAAAACTCTGTATAATTAGCATAAAAGTGACATTGTGTTTGCATTTTTTGTCTGAGGGGCTGTATTTAAAGGGAAAACAATGAGGGGTGATGACTTAAGTATATTTGGAATCGGCTATGTTCTATACATTAGTATGTTTGGTCACAATTAGGCCAGAGGTATTGCTAACATCTATAATTTCATTAAAGAAATGGGGTTTAAAGTAAATCCTAAGTTTGACACCCAAGGTCTAAAACCCCCTTCCTTTTACACTTTGTATTTACTATTTCAATGTTTAACCAGGTTTAAAATACCATAGTGATGTTATGTTGGCTTCCAGAGCCAAAATGCATCTCTACCAGCAGTGCATAAGTAAGGATGTCAGCAGACACGTTATAATCTCTATCCAGAGTCCAGATAGAATTTGGCACTGATGGGCTTGAATGAGTACACTGGATGTCACTGTAATGCTTACAAGACATAAAGTTTCACTCTGTATGACCTTTTGTAATAATTCACCAATGTGAATGATGTAAAGAGAGCTGGAATTCACCTGTTGTCTTACCACACATCTACTTAAGAGAGAGGATGAAATAGGCTTATACTGTTCTAATTTCTCTTTCTCAGGCAGATATATAGGATGGACTCATCTCAACTGGTAGGTGCTGATGGGAAGCTCAAGACACTGTCTAAGGAGGGTTTCCTCAAGATTCTGCTGCTAGACAGTCTGCCTGGGCAGCTTGGCTATGACAAGGTGGGCTGTTACCTGTTACATGTCCTGTAAGGAGATGCAGTAGAAGCTTGAATCTTTTGAGCTGACATAAAATAGAGTTTATTTACAATTTGTTATTTTTCATTTTGATTCACAAACAATTTTTCAAAGTAAGGAATATTTTATTCAATATATTACACGGCGATTCCATTCGGCCGTTTGGTTCTGTGATGACAGAGGAACAGTGACGTTTGGCTGTTTTTTATTTTTTTTAGTGTCAGTTGGTGCTGCATCATGCCAAAGGTATTCAAAAACATGGTTCTTACCATCAAAGTCTAAGAAAAAGTTTAAGAAAACGAAGCAAGGAAAAAAACAAACCATTGACATCTTTGGGCATGTTTGAAACAGAGAAAGGACTCACCTCCCAGAACCGCAGAGCATGACATGCACAGTCCGTTTACTCCAATTCATTAGCTCAGCCGCATCAAGCTCTCAAATCAAAATGGTTCAGTTTATCCAAATGCGAACACAGACCTAGCTAAAGCAGTTAAAGCAGTTAACTTTGCTGAGCTGAGAAAAACATATTGTGAGGTGAGCACACTTTTAGAAGCTAAAGTGTATTCATCTGCAACACTAAACACTAAGTTTTTAACTATTAACAGTTACAGTCAGCCTACCTTTAGCTGTGGTTTCCCCTTTTGATGATGGATGTTTTAAATTCAAACTTTAAATCTTTTTTGTAAGTGTTCAGGTTATTTCTAAAGCAATACATTTTTTATGTTTTGGAGAGAAAAAAAACTAAAAATAATCTCTGGCACTACACAGCACTCTTTTTTCCACAAACGCAAGCACCTGCTAGATGCCACTTTGAAAAAGGTTTTATGGCCAGATGTGACAGCTTGTTTGGCAGCAAATACTCAAAGTGGTTTCACGTAAAATCACTGTGCAGTATGGTGGAGAATTTGTAATGTAGTGAGGATCTTTTTTTCCAAAGGCCCTGGTCAACCTTCTTAGGATGCATGCCATCATGGCCCCCATACCAGGAGATTTTACATGAAAATCTGTCTGATTTTGCCAAAAATCTAAAACTGGGTTATATTTGGTTTCTAGCAGGAAAATGATGTACAACATAGGTCCAAATTGCCACAGAATTAATCTTTTGACATGCTATTGACCTGACCAAACCCTACTGAAAACCTGTGGGGGTGGGGATTCTGCATTGAAGAGTTGTCTCAAATTCCTTCCTCTGTGTTCTCCAGTCTCATCAAGCATTAAAGCTTTTGCAATATTGATTTATCTCTGCTCGCAATTTACCATTTTTGAAAACCTTGAGTAACAATATGATCATCTAGAATAGATGGAAAAAATCTGCAAAATATAAATCTTAAAGCCATAGGCATCATTAGGTTTACAAAACAGGGACATCAAGTGATGGCACATTTCTGTCGAGCAACAAGTTATGAATAATGCAGTTTTGAACAAGCATTTTATTTAGTCATGTGAAAATGTAATAATAAGGCCTAATGCTGTTAATGCTGAGAGGAAAAAACTGAAAGGAAGTGAGTTTGTCAGAAGGCCTTCAGTTGTCCTAAACAATGAGCAGTGGCCTTTAAACATATGTTTACATTCATTTGTACTGATCTACAAAGGTTTGTAGAACATCCAAGCTAACATAGATGTCAAAACAACATGACTAATGGAAAAATTTCTCCCATAGATGTGTTTACACGGTGGTTTCGTTCTCCATATTTAACCCTTTGATATGTATACTATAATGAGGCCCAATGCACCCGTAAGGGGCCCTTTTGGCATAGAGGAGTAAGTGAGAGTGGGTCAGAATTCATCAAAAGGTCTCAATATGATATGATTGTTGACCAGGGACCTTCACAGAGTTTTGTTCAGATTGATCTTTTGGCCTTGTATAATAAGCTGTAGTCTAAGCCAAAATACCAGACAAGCAGTCCAAAATTTGACATAAAATGTAATTAAAAAGTTATTCTGGTCAGTGAATGGAACCACATGGCACCAATTGTTTATTGTAGCCTTTGTAATGACATTGTAATAACGTTTTTATTGATTAAGTTTTTTTGAGTGCTAAAGTGCCCCATAAAGGACAATCAGGACAAAATTTTGCAGACCCCATCAGAGTCTCAACATATACAATTCCTTACAGTTTAGAGATGATTGGACAAATGATATAGCAATTTAAGCTAGAAATGCCATGACCGCAGTGATGAATTGATAGTGACACTATATTGAGTAAAAAAAGTCACAAAAGTCCACAGAGTATTTCTAGACCAATTTCAAAAAGGTATGATCAAAATTCAGAGACTAGTTCGAAAAGTATAGTTTTCAAATAGTTAACGATTACAAAAATGCATTTTTAAAATAAACTTATGATTGGAAATTTGTTTGGCACACTGCACTACATTAGACTAACATAAATACATGACCAAAAATAAAAGTATGTACATGTAACATGTAATAATTAATTGAATTTCATGAATAGCGCCCCCAGTGGCCAAATCTTTTGAAACATCAGTGGTTGTTAGAAAGTGGCCACATAGCGTGTTTTCACACTTGGGGCATTTGTGTGTTAAGTGGACTTTGTGAACGCTGAGTCATGGTTTTCTGTGCATATTATCTCTTGACAAAGAGATTCCTCTTCATAGTTCACTTACATTGTGAACACAGAAAGAGCTGAGGTCATTTGCAGTTGGTTCCCTTTCAGGTTCACTTTAACAGAACTCCATTCAGTTCATTTTAAAAGAACTATATGTGAAAATACCCATAGAGGCACCATTCAAGTTTCATCATGATTGGTCAATGTTAAGCTGTCAAAAGTCTACTGAATGCTGATTGGCTGATGGCTGATTGGTTGATAGATGCTATGTGCTAAATTTCAGCTTGATCGGATGTACAGATGCTGAGAAACAGTTATTAGCATTTACAGCGCCTCCTAATGACCTGTCAGGCCCAAAAGCCTCTCTTCTGTGCTCAAGGCCCGTGGACAGAGATGGATCCTCCTAGCGCGTTCTAATACTGTTACCTTAAGAGCTAACTGCAATATAACTTCTTCTAACAAAATAAGAAAAATGTCAAAGTGTAAAAAGCAAGGTAAAATAAAAGACTTCAGCCGCTGAGTTCTTGTGGAAGGAAGGAAAAGGCCTTCTGCTTTATTGAGCTTGGATGGCAAGATGGTTCCTGGACAACCACAATGCAAAGAACATGTCAAAAACACCCACTTTTATATCCTGTTTGGAGCGATGAAGAAATCGCCCCCCTCTTTTTCTATGGAATTCTATACCGTCTTAGTTCCCATTATCTCCAAATCTTACATGTACATGGGAACCGTCACATCTGCACTTGGGAACCCTTATTTCCAATCATACATGAAATATGTTTTTTAAAAATATCTTATCTTAGTTGTACCAGAATGTTCCAGTACCCAAGGACATTAGCTTTTGACTGGTTGCATTGTAAGTTCACCTCTTCCAGGGCTGGTTCTTATCTCAAGGGCAGTTCTTCTTGCTCACACAGCAGATCCTAACAAGCTTCAGGAGGCCCCTTTTACAAACAGGCTTTGAAGCTAAGGCATATTTTACAGTGTGAAGATTACTATTCTTTGGTTAATAAACACTACTTGTTAACATTATCAGAAAATAAAGATTATTTATTCAAAACATCCATCAGACCTATGCGCACAAAAATTGATACACTGTCTCAGAATATTCTAGTAAATAAGTGAAGGATTCTTGAGTTATAGAATTTTAATTTAATTATGAATTATTTTGAATTATTTCAGAAGGATTATTAGCATATGGCAGCCATGCTGTTCACAAAAGACAATTTTTTTTTGATAATTATTGAGGTTCAGGCTCTTCTGAATTCTGAACCTTAGGACTATTTTGCAAAAGTAGGTTTTGCATATTATGCAAATTTGTGAAAAATTTAAGTAGGCAGAGCCAAAAGTTCCAAATTATAAAGTTGTTTGTCTTTACCCAAGGAATCAGGAAAAAATTGAAGTTTGTCTCAGAGATTTAAGAGTTATGAGGCAAAACGCATTTTGCTGCACTATAGTGCCCCCTTTAGGCCGATTGGGCTCATGTCATGTGTCTGAGTAGCGGGAGGGACTAGTACCTATTGACCAAGTTTCATGTTTCTAGGACTTACGGTTTGGTCTGAGCAATTCGTTTTGAATATGAAAAAACTCCTAATAATAATAATAATAATAATAATAATAATAATAGTAATAAATTGTTATTTACAATAACAATAAATTATTATCAATAATAATGAATATAGCTGCAAGCGGCAATCATCGGGGTCTAAGCACCATGAGGACAACGAGGGTTGATGTGGTGGCCTCTGGTCGTAGAAGGCAGCAGATAGCTAGATTTTTAAGAAAGATCTCCTTTTCTCACAATTAAGATCACTAAGTGATATATCTGCTACAATTTTTATAGCTCAGCTCTGTTCAACGTCCACGATGGCATTTGAACCCACCACCTAAGACTTCATAGGTGGATGGTCACATGGTGAGCCACCAGAGGTCTGTGGCACACCCGCAATTTTAAAAACAATTTATTGGAAGTGAGCAACAAGGAACCATACACCATTAGTAGTAGCATAAGCAAATTTCATGTCTCTGGCCATAGAAGGCTGCACATTGTTGGATTTTTAAGAAGGACCTCCTTTTCTTCAGATTAAGATTAAAAAAAAAATCTTATTGGTATGTAGCAATAAGGAACCAAGCACCATTTTACAAACTAGTTCCCACATTGCAGTTACTGTGATTATTAAGTACTATAACAAAAAACAAAATCGTAGTATGCCCTCAGTTTGTCATTTTGTAAATTTGTTTCCAATTTGGTTATAATTGGACAATTATTGATGTATTTCTACCCTTTTAAGGCAGAATAAGCCAGGTCACACCAGTTTATTTAAATCTTGCTGCTATACTGTGCTTAAAAGTCATGATGTTTTTAATAATAATTTCTTATTGTATCCACAGATTGTTTTAAAAAAATAATAATTTGATA